TGTTTAAACCCTTCCCAGGGCCTGTCCATCACAGGACTCCAGATCAAGCCCCTCGGGCTCCTCCCTGGCCTAATCCCTGTCCATTCCATTCTTGTTTTTCTTAATTTATGTAGTTTTGACTGAAGTATGAGCCAGCCACATTCCCACCACCCCCTGCACGCATCCTGTGGCCAGCCCCAGCACCACTCAGTCCCCTGCTCCCCTGGGCTCCAGACAGACCTGAGCCTTGGGTTACTCTTCCCTCCCTCCCTCCTTCTTTCAATGACCTCCTCAATATGGTATCCTCTATAGTGTCAGCTTCTGGGATCCCTGCCTGCATTCCTGTGAAGCCTTTCTTGCTACAAACAGAATTATCACTGTTCCTTGTGTGACCCCATGTCCTGACCACCATGGCGTCCCCAGGCAGGGGTGGGCCAAGCCCCCTAACCTGTTGGGTCTCTGTATTCGGAATTGGCATATGGCTGGTGCTCAATGGAATGAATTGGAACTGACACATTGTAGTTGGGTGGAGATCTTTATTTAGCAAGTAAGACTCATTTAAAATAATTAACACCTCTTTGTGTAAAAATGTGCCCAAATCATTTTTTTTTTAATTTACTCCTGGAGAGATTAAAACCATGTGTTTATAATATCAATTCATTTACTTACTTAATCCTTAACTTTTATGGATTTTTTTAAACCTTCTGTGGCAAAAGGAACCTATTATCACTATTCCCTTTAAATTAATGCACTTCAGATAATAGGTGTACATTTTGTACAAGTAGATTATGTATAATGTGCTTATCTTTTGATACAGTAAGAATTTTCAGGAGTATGTCAAGATGGGTAAAAGGGAGAGAAATTACCAAAGGCCCCTCCCACTCCACACACATGTTAACGAGGTCTCTTTTTTGACATAGAGTCCAGCCAGCACATTTTTTTTCTGACATATAAGCCAGAGCCTTTGCTGATGTCATTCATTTCTCAGGCCCTGTGTATCTGCAGAGCATTGGGCTCACCAAGCCTTTCTGTCTCTGAGGCTAGTGTGCAGGTACATGAAAAGACCCGTTGGCCCCTAACTGGTTTGGTAATTCTGATGAGATTCGATCTTCTGACAGAGGATTGAAGGGTGAGCATCTAACATGAATAATCTCTGAGTTCAGGGACAGTTTCTTCATGCTGAAAACTTTCACAAACAAATGAAGCTCAACCAGGTGAAATTGCTATTATGCAGCTGCTCTTGACCTATAAAAGCACTAACTGGATATCATTCAGCCTGATAAAAACATGAAAGAGCATTGACCACGGTTCCCATTTCCTTGGCAGGAGGATTGAGGCAAGGCTACAGCTACAAAGAGACAGAGGATCACAGGATCTCAGCCAGATCCTGCAGAGTCAGGATACTGCAGGCCAGAGATGAGGGCAGCATCTACTTTAGGGCCTCCTGTGAGTGACACTGGCTGGGGTAGGGTGGGATAGAGTAGCATATTTTAGAAATATTTGAAAATCATTAAGGATGAAGGTTTTTTTTTCTTATTTTTTTTCTATGTAAGAATGTAACATCCCAGACTGAAAAGAACTTAGACTTCTGAACTAGATTGGGGTTCAAAGTGGGTTCTGCCATGTAGACAAGTCATTTTGTTTCTCTGAGCCTCAATTTCCCCATCTGTAAAATGGGGATAATAACAACTACCTCTGGTGGTTTTAAGAATTAAGAGTAATGTAGGTAGAGAGAGGGGAGCTTGTGCTTAGCACCCCATAGGTGTGCAGTAATTGGCATCCTTGTTATTTCTACCTAATGGTTTCATCTTCTTGCATCTGCAGAGGTCTCTTTTGTAACAGTGTCAACTCGTGCTCACCTCCTCTGACACAGGCATGTTAGTCCACCAGAGCAAAGGACAGTAGCACATACTTCCTGATGGTCCCTAAGTCCACTGTGCCCTCCCGTGTTCACTAGTAAATCCTGAGTCCATATCCATGCCATTTCTCAGCTGCTGCCTTCGCCTCCCAGTCTGTCTTGCCCTTCTCAGACAATTTAAATCCATCAGCACCCTGCTGACAGATTTTCTTAAGTCACTTCTCTTGCATCCCTCTCTGACTCAGAAGTCTGTGAGACCCCCAATTCCTGCAGGTTAGGAACAAACACTTATTCAGGCATCCGGAGCCTTCCACAGATAGTCCCAGTCAGTCCTAACTCCGCATCCCCATTACTTCCCCAAGTCCTCACTCCTGTCCCCTGCAGCATCTCCACCATCCTCATCCAAATGGGAAGAGGCTTGGGCTGATGTCCCAGCTCCATAATCTTCACCTCTGCAAACCCATACAAGCCCTCAGCCCCCTTCTCCTCTGCCAAGTGGGAATGATGAATTTGCCCCGTACTGTGAGCTCCTAAGGACAGGGACTGAGCTCCCTAGTGCTCGGTCCTGAGTTTAGTCCTGAGTGAGCCTCCACAGAGGCTTTGGAGTGACAACCCAGCCTCCACACCACAAAAAGAGGGTCCAGGGCTGGTGGTGTGGTTCAGCGGTAGAGCGCTCCTGAGCTCTACCTCTTAGACATTCAGGTGGGGCCCGGGCACCAGCATTTGTAGCAAATACCACAGGTGGTGATATGGGTGGTCTGAGTCTGAGGACGCACTTGATGTTGGTTAGACTTTCAGATGTCCACCAGCCACCTGCTGTTTTCAAGGCACTGTGCCATGTTGGAGGCATGAAGGTTCAGGCTGGACCTCAGGTCAGAGTTGATGGCGGTTGTTAAGGGGAGGGGAAGGATGGGTGTGGCCAGTACCAGAAATCAGCCTATAGCATTTTCTGGAAAATGAATGGAAATGGAGAACATCATGCCCAGTGAAATAAGCCAGTCTCAGAAAATCAAAGGTCGAATATTTTGTCTCCTATGTGGAAGCTAAAGCAGAGCAACAGTCAGGAGGGGAGGATCAGCTTTCACAAAGATATAAGGAAGATGAGTGGAGGAGAAGAAGGAGATTGAGAGGGAGAGAGGAGGGATGGGAATGGGGAGGAAATGTGGAATGATTTTTTAAAAACCATACTATAACCACAACAGACACTAGTATGGCAATTTGTAAATCAATGGATGTGTAACTGATGTGATTCTGCAATCTGTGTATGGGGTGAAGGTGGGAGTTCATAACCCACTTGAATCAAAGTGTGGAATATGATATGTCAAGAAATTTGTAATGTTTTGAACAACCCACAATAAAAAATTAAAAAAAAACATACTATGTGCATATATAAATATACCACAGGGAATTTCACCTTTATGTATAAGTAGAAAGAACCAATAATTAAAAAAAAAGATGAATGAAAGGAAGATCAGGAGAGGAAGGAGAATGGGGGGGAGGGAAGAGGAGAGGGGGAAAGTATTTTTGTTGGGGGACATGAACTGAAATTGAATTCCATGCATGTGTGATTTTGTCAGGAAGAACCCAACTACTATGTATAAGGATAATACTCTAATCAAAAGAAAAGAAAGAAAATTATACCATGGACCCAGGCTTCATTCAGTCTTGGGTCTCAGGTGTAAGGGTGTGGGTGGGAGCAAAGGCCACCTCTGGAAGCCACTAGGAGCCAGCAAATTGGTCAGGGAAGGACCAGAAACCAGAGTTCAGAGAAAACTGACCACCAGGCAGCTTCTTCCAGGAACAGGAACCAGGAACGTGAGAATGACAACCAAGAACTGGCGGATTCCCCATATTTCCTGCTCCCTGGTCCAGCCCTGCTTTTAACAGGTCGTCTACACCTGGAGGCAGCAGCGTGGACAACAGAGGAACACACCATAGACATGACACAGCAGTGTGCTCAGTGCCCACCTGCGATGATGACCTTGAACAAGATGCTTAATTCCTGAGTCTGTCTGTCTCTCTCTTTCTGCAAAGTAATGGCCTCCAAAATATCCACTTCTCAATCCCCAAGGGACTTTGCACAAGTGATTAAGGGACTCTGATCTGGGATTATCCCAGTGCGCCCTCATAAGAGACAGGCAGGAAGATGAGGGTAGGTAGAAAGAATATCACTTCTCTGTGATGATGATGGGGTCACAAGCCAAAGAAATGAAGGGACCTCAAGAAGCTGGAGAGGGCCAGGCAATGGACTTTTCCTTGGGGCAACCAACCTTGAAGTCCCACTTCAGACTCTTCTGACCACCAGAACTGTATAAGAATAAATCATGTCGCATTAAGCCACTAAGTTTGTGGCAACTTGTTATAGCACCCACAGGAGATTAGAATAGAGATGCAAAGAATGCAGCATTGGTGCCAAACTCAGAGCCCAAGTGCAGAAAGAGCTTGGTTCAAGTACAACTCAGTAAAGGTAGCAATATTACCCACATTAGGTAAGTCTTAGACAAGGCAAAGGATGTGAGTACACCCCCTGTTTCTTGGTACCTTGTGGATGCCTGGTAGGTCCCTATCCTTCCCCTGAAGGTCTGGGTGGCTGGGGGAACCCCACCAAGGAGAAGTGTAGGAGACCTGCACTGGCTTGTGCCCTCCCCACCCTGCAAGTCTCTGGGTCTGAGCTTCTGTCCTTTGGTAATCAGTGTGTGTCCTGGGGGGTCATTCCCAGGCCCTCCAACTCCCCTGAATTTGCTGCTGTTGTTGGTTTCTGTCTCCCCAATGGTACCTACTCTTACATCTGACTTTAAAGCCCTTGGAATCTTTCCTGCATGAAGTTGGTGCTTTTCCAATTGCTCTCTCTTGTCCTTGCAGATGGCTGCTCGGTTGCTTCTTCATGACACCGACTGCTTGTCATGTGACTTCTTTGTTTCCCTAAAGGCTTCACGACTGTGCTGGGCCCTTGGCAGCCCCATGCCACACCTTCCCCAAGGAGTCCACTATCCTTTCTAGTTTGGAGATAACAAGATGTGGCCCGGGGTCTGAGCCAGGCATCAGCTGCTTCTGCCTGAGCTCTCAGAGGGTGGGCTGCTGCTGGGCCCCAGCCTGGGAGGAGCATGTGTGCCCCTTTATCTCCCAGCACCTTCTGAAGGCTGTCCCCTCTGGCCTCTCACAGGGACCTTCGTCTCAGCCTTCACTGTGCTGTGTGGGGCCCGCACTGACCTCCCAGACAGGCACGTGTGCTGCGTCTTCTGGCTGAACATCGCAGCGGCCCTCATCCAGATCCTCACAGCCATCGTCATGGTGGGCTGGATCATGAGCATCTTCTGGGGCATGGACATGGTCATCCTCGCCAGTGAGTAGCTGCTAGTGCCATGCCTTCTTGTGGGTCTGGAGCCTGGAGGGATGTGAGGGCCGAAGGAGCGGCTCAGGGACAGGAGGGACTTGGGAGGCCTTCTCGGCTGATCACAGTCCTGCTCACCTCCTAAGGACAGGTGCTCTGCAGGGCTCACCCCTGTCCTCCTCACGACTGCCCATGGCCACTTGGCAGAGGGGGCATTCCCCACCACACCTGGCCAGGACACCTGTAGGGAACTGAGTAGGCAGAGTCTCCTCTCAGATAGCAGAGACCTGAATGTTGCTTGGTAACTTGTGGATGCCTGGTAGGCATCCTACAGGCATTTATCAAGAAAAAAACCCACACTCAAGTCTGTGTGGCCCTGGAAGTGGCCTGAGTGACCTCAGCCCCTTCACTGACTCCATCCTACAGTTTCCAGAAAGAAGGACAAGGCCACTTGCCCACAGGAAACCCTACACTGTGTTTCTTACAGCTAAGGCTCTGTGATTCCTTCTTGGGTTAAACTGAGCTCTTTGTTCATTGATGGGAAAGCTTTTCTAGTCTCATTTGGATGGGGCTGACCTTCACCAATCTGATGCAAACATGATTCAGACACAAAACCGTTTTGCCAAAGGGTATAAAGTTACAAATTTACCAAAGACGACTTGAATACTATTTTTAAAATAACCAAGCAAAACCTAAATCAGACATCACTTGCCTTGAGCAGCTGCACACTTCTCCCTTTGCCACTGTCCAAATTCTCATGAAGCTGTAGCTCCTCAATAATCAGGACCCCATCTCCTCGGGCACTTTGCCCTACCCTACTCCACCCTGACTCCATACTCCTCACTGGGTCCCACACCCAGTGAAACCATTCATCGGTGGAATTGCCAGTGCCAAAGGCAAGCTGTCCTAGGGGAGGGAAGTGGAGGCAGACAGAAAACCCCAGGGTTCAAGGAACCTAGAACGATCTAGAATAATCTAGAATGATCCAAGTCAACAACCTGAGTTTGGGATCCTGTGAAAATCCAAGACCTGACACACACACAATGCCAGGGACAGGGCCAGTGACTAATCATGTCAACAGGCCAGAGAAGATGCAAGTACCTGAGCCTGAGTAACTGCAGAGCCAGTGTCTGAGTCAGACAGGCTGCCCAGAACGGGTCCTCCAGGAGCACGGGTAAGGGGAGGAAGTGGGTTGGCTGGACTTAGGGCATCTCAGAATTAGAGCAAACCAGTCACATTCTGGGCAACCAGGGGCAGCCAGAAATGGGAAGAGGCACAGCAGGCCTGGCCAGCAGCTGGGTGTGGGCTGCCCTGGTGAAGGATAAACTGATAAGCAGTAAGAGAACTACTCCTTCCTGCTGCAAAAGGCCTTTCTGGGGCAGTGGCTGCTCCTGCAGGTTGGGCTCTGGGAGGTGGGCCTGGAAGAGTCAGTAGAGCGCAAGGCAGGCCGATACAGCCCTCCAATGGAGACCTGCCCTGTGTCCAGGGGCCACTTACATTTTGTAGGAGAGGTCAGAACATTACTGATTCAAAAGAACGGCTACCCGCTTTCTGATGAGTCCTAAAAGCTGCCTGATAATTTCTCAGAGGGAATTGGGGTACAGGCTCCTGACCTCGTTTCTAACTGGAACCTTGGAAGACCATGAAGCCTGCCCTGGCTTCACACCTATGAACCCCTCTTACTGGTTCATCTGCTCATCAAACCAAGTGTCTGGCCAGGTGCTGGGACTTTCGTGTGTTAGTCAGTTTTGTGTTGCTATGACAAATACCTGAGATAAATAAACTTATAAAGAGAAAAGTTTTATTTTAGCTCACAGTTTTGGAGTTTCAACGTTTTGGTCCATGGTCAGTTGACTCCATTATTTTAGGGTCTGTAGTGAGGCAGCACCTCATGATGGAACAAAGCTGCTCAGCTCACAGCCAGGAAACAAAGGAAAAAGAGGAAGTGACCACAGTCCCACAGTTCCCTTTGAGACACACCCCCAGTAACCTAAGACCTCCCACCAGGTCCCACCTCATAAAATTTCTTCTACCTCCCAATAATGCCGCTGTGGGGACACATGGGCCTTTAGGGAACATTCCACACTTGCAGGATGAGCAGGTACATCTCTAACCCCAGTCTTTCCTCTCCCTTCCCAGCACCCTAATCCCTTCCTGTGGATGAGAGTCAGCTCCTTAGACGTGTGGACGCTGGCTCTAGGGAGCTGTCTTTACATCAAACTCTGTAGGGAGCACATAAGAAAAATAGTCACACCGTGGTCTCATGCCCACTGACCCTGCCTGACCACCAGTGTCACTCCCCCATCTCAGCAGGGGATGGCTTTGCACTTTTTCCAAAAATTGCACCCACCCTCCAAGGACATGTCTTGCCACCTGTGCGATGGGCAGAGATCACTCTGAGCAACAGTGGAGTGCGTGTGTATCTCAGAATTGCTTCTAGAAAGGAAAGGCCACAATCCGCTTGTCTGTCCTAGTAGACAGTTGGATAAGGAGCTGTTCTTTCTGGTGTTGCTCCAGGCCCTTCCTGTGAAAATGAAGGAAACGTTTCAGTTGCGACAACACAGGTTGACTTTTCACATGGCACCCTCCAGGGTGTTATCGGCAAGAAGAACTCCTAATAATCCAAAATAAATGGGAAAACTGGGGGTGGGGGAGGGGGTTCTGAGGAATGATCTGTAGAGTAAATGAAGGGGATTGAGGTGGAAGGAGGAGGGATGGGATAAGGGAAGAAAGGGGGACTGAATCCGACTGAACTTTCATATGATGTTTATGAGTATGCCACAGTGAATCTCAAAATCAAATATATCCACAAGACACTAAAAAAAAACTGTAAGTAAATTGCAGAGAGATCAGTAGAGGGAAGAGATCGGGAGGGAGGAGGAGGGAACAGGAAGGTGCTGGGGACTGAATAAGAGCAGATTATAATCCGTGCTTTTGTGATTATGTCAAAATGAATCCTAATGTTATATATAACTAAAAAGAATCAAGGAAAAAAAAAAAAAAGAAAGAAAAGCTCCTAAGAGGGAAATCAGAGAAATATAGACAAAAGTACAAGTGAAAGTCAAGAGCTTACCAGCCTGCTGCCCTATTTGTATTCATCATAACAAATAACAATCAGTAATGGCCCGTCTTGGTCACGGGTTAGTAGGTACTTGGTAACTGTCTGGAGGGTTCCTTCTACAGCTGTACCCATGACAGATGTGGCTACTCCATCATGACACTGTCAGCCCAGGGCTTCAGGCAGTTGATCCAAGATGTCTGCATGGTCATTGGCCATCTCTGAGCCTGGGTATTTTCCCAGAGCATTAGGTTTTATACTATGTGGCTCCTGTCCATACAGAGGGCAAAACCACATGGCCCAAAGAGCAGGGTGGACACCAGAACAGTTCACCTCTGTATCTTTAGGTTGTCACAACCAACCTGCCCTGCACCCGTCACTCCTGAGATGCATCCAGAATTTATCTCAAGGCATGGGCTGGGGAGGAAAAGAGAATGAGGGCAGGAGGTGAGCAGAGGTGTGGCCTGGCTGGGATGTGGGGGCTGGGGAGGCACTGGACAGAGTGGCTTGGCAGAACTTCTGTGTCTCCCCTGCCATCCTAATGGGCCTACCGCTGGCCACAGTGACTAGTCACCATGACCAGTGAGCACCCCTTGTCAGAGGACATGACTTCTAGGAAGTCACTGGCACAGCGCCTATTCTGCCTCCCAGGACCCTCCCTGGGTCCCCTCCCATTGTGTATTTCAGGCATCCCTGTGGCTTCTGTTTTTAGACTGTATTTTCTTTCTCTCTTCTTCCTCCTGCTGCCTCCCGTCTCTATGTTGCTGCAGTTTCTCAAGGTGAGTCTGCTGATGGGCACATGGACCTGGGGCTGCCTGGGGCCCTCTCCTCCCTGGGACCGTCACTCTTGCCCACAGACACCCTACTCTCCCAGTTGGTCAGCGGTCTTTTATTTTTAACTTTATATTTTGGAAAATATAGATGAAGCTCACATCAGCTTCAAGCAGTCACTGCCACCCTGTTTCATCCATTACTCCCACCGTCTCCACACCCCAGCCAGCACTGGATCATCAGCACCTAAGGTTAATGAGTAATCTGCTAGATGAAGAGGGAAAAACCCAGGGAGGTCCATGGACGCTCCTTTTCAGACTAAGATAATTAGTGGATGGGGGTAATGGCTCAGCAAATCCACTCGGATAATTTCAGCCCCGTAATTTCACCCAAACATATTAGCAATGATTCCTTAACATCAACAGTGTTTGTATTTTCCCAAAGGTGGCTGGGGATGTAGCCCAGTGGTAGAGCGCTGGCCTAGCACACGCCACACAGATACACACACACATGGGTTGAACATCCTCATGATGGTTGCTTCCTTCCGGGTACTGCCTTCCTCCTTTCTTCCTGCCTCCTCTCCACCTGTGCCAGAGGACCACCACTTGCTCACTCACTTGCCTAGACTTTTCCCCAAGGCTCTGCATGTTGCCATCACACCAGGGCAATCTGGTGGAGCCATTTTTATGCAGCTGCTTCTGGACTGTGAATTCAGGAGCACATCAATAGCCTTCCAACCTGCAGCCTAACCACCCCTTCTCATCTATTGCACAGTTCTTGACTCATCCTTTCATTTTCTAATTGAAAGCCAATGCCCTTGGGAAGTCAAGTCCTGGCATAGCAGTCATTTATACCATAGTATGAATCAACTCTCGCGAGCATATTCTGGTCTGCAGACACCTCCTAGAGAATTCTTAAAGGCAAAGGGAGCCTAACCATCTCTCTCTTCTGCTTCTTCCTCACAGGGTACAAGGAGCAGGGCATCCCACAGCAGCTGTGAGCCCGCAGGACCCACCAAGGAAGTCCCGGGGCCCTGCAAGGGCTGCACCAGGCAGCTTGTGGCACAAGGACCTTTACATGTTCTTTTCTGCCGTTTCCTGGATTCGGGGTGGAAAAGGGGGTATTTTTAGAAATATTATTTATTTTGAAATCGCATCTGCTTTTCTCAGCAGGCTCTGAGGGCTGCCAGTCCCTCCTCCTGCCCGGGAAAGCATGGTAGGCTCAGGCACATGGAGCACTGGGGAGTGGGGCAGAGATGGGCATGTCGACAGAGAGGCTGGGATGCTTCTGCAGGCTCACCTTCACCTGGCAGAGCCCATTGCCCACTGCAAGGGTACTTCAGAGCTGCAGAGCTGGGCTGCAGTGGTCCCTGTCCAGGTGATCGGGACTTGCTAAGGGGGCGGGACTGTGGAGGACTCTTCCTCTGGGTCCCCACTCCTGCCTCAAGTATCTGGTGCCCCTAGTGTTTACTCTGTGGTCTTCTGGGGGAAGTGCCAGGGTGCAATTGAGGATGGCCAGTTGCCAGTCCAGTGTGGAAAGGTCCACTGTGCTCACAGCTGGCATTGGGGAGAGCATGGGTCCCCATAGATCTGACCACATACTCAGTCTCCTTGCCGTTGATATGTAAAGGCAGAGTGTGTTTGGTCCATTATTTCCCTGGGTGGGAGGGCAGTGGCTCTGTCCCTGGGGTGAAATTGCTGGAATTGCCAGGCTGAGGTGTGAGTGGGCACGAACTGGCTGCTTTCCTCATGATGCTTAATACCATTTCTGGTCCACAGTCCTTTTTTTTCTGAAATCCTTGAAGCCAGATGTGTCTCTGAATTAGGAAATTTTGGATTTGAGAAAGATGGTATGATCTATTTTCTGCATATTTCCTAACACCCTGGCAGAGTCTGGAACAGCCCACCCACCATCCAGCACATGAGTATTTCTGCAGAGAAACATGTGAATAGTCAGATTAATTGGGATCAATAAAAAATGTAAATAGCGTTGCCTATTCAGGTCAGACTAGATAAGTCCTGGGAGAAAGACTACCACTAGATAGATGGCTTTTGGAGTTTCAGAATTTCAAAGCAATTTAAGGAGGTGGTGGACCTTCATCTGAAAAACCCGACTTGCACACAGATGCACTGGAGGTGAGATTGTTGGTGCTGCACGGGGACCACAAGGCTCCTTTAAGCCACTTCTCTGAAATTGATGGCTGCAGATTAGATTTTAGTGGAACCAGGAATCAAGAGAAGGCATGCCGACTACTGCCAATCAAGTACCAGTCTGAAATTAAGAGAAAGGAGATCCAGGGGCTGGAGTTGTGGCTTGGTGATAGAGCGCTTGCCTAGCACGTGTGAGGCCCTGGGTTCGATCCTCAGCACCACATAAAGATAAAATAAACAAAATAAAGGTATTGTATCCATCTACAACTAAAAAGATGCTTAAAAAAAAGAGAAAGGAAATCCAAAATTATGGTGACAGGATGGATATTTACATGTCTGTTTTCACTCTCTAACTCAGGAAGTGATAACACGTGGGACTGGCCCAACGCTCAGGTTCCAGACCCCTCTGGGCTTTGAGCCATTGGATGTGTCCCTGTTTAAGGGACTTTTCTTATCTATCAGAGGCTCTGTCAAAACCCTATCAGGGCTGGATGAGGAGCCTGGCTACAATGCAGGATGCGGGCTCTAGGGAAGCGGCGCCCACTGCTCTGGGGGTCCCATCCCACCTACCCCCACTGGTGGGCTATCTAACTACAGTTCTGCCGGGGAGCAGACTTTGGGATTCCCCACAAACTGAACTGTCCCCTGACCTCTGTGAGGCATGGGGTCCTGTCCTGCCACTTACTCCTGGCCCCTACTCTGAGGCAAGTTCTCTGCTCCTACTCTGTCCTTCCCACCGTCTGCCTCTTAGTTTTCATGAGCCTCTTTCATTGACGCCTGGGGCTGGGCTGCACTTTCTGAGCACCAGGCAGTGTCTCAACGTCTTCCTGGGCCCCCTTCTTCCTGATCTCAACCCCAACTTTTATTGCTTTTCTCCTATTTGGAACCCTCTGTGACTTCAGTCGTGGGATCAGATTTGGTCCTACCCAAATAGCCAGAGGCTGGCAGCCCGCTGCTCTCCAGGAAGGTGCATCAGAGAACAGGGACACCCCTCAAATGAGAGAAAACGGCATCAGCAGAGGTCCCAGCCACCCCCTCCCACAACCCACCAACCCACAGCCCTTCATCCCCAACAGTCCCCCCAAATTGCCTGACTCTCCCTGAGTGCTGACAAGTCTTGGGAGGGGGCTGCCCCCACAAGTGAGAGAGCAGGAGCTTATTTTCCTGGCTGGGGCTGGGGGTGGCTGCTGAAGGAGTAGAGGAGAGGTAGCAATTTGTGTTGGGTGTTTAGTGACACGATCCAGACGCGGGTGGGATATTCTTGAGTGGCAGGTGTCACCGTGTGTGGGGTGGCTTAATACAGGGGTTTGTGAGCTTGGCAGGCTACCTCCTCCCCACCCGCACCGTCCTCTCATCTGAGGGCTGCATCTCTGCATTTGGGAACACATCAGGCCAGGAGGAAGCAGCCACTCTCCAGGTAAAGGATGTGTGGGAGAAGGCAGGGGTGGCCATGTGGGTGGGAACAGCTGAGAATAGAGGCCCTCTGAATTAGACCATGGTCATAGCATTGTCAGGAGATAAGGACAGTGGCCAGTTTACTCCAAGTCATCCAAAATGGCCATTTGGATGGTCAGAGTTCATTGATTAAGCAAAATGGAAAGAAGGGTCCTTGCGCCAATGAGTGCTTGACTGACACACAGCCCTTTGGTGACACAAATTGGAGCTTTGCCTGGATGGTATGGCATAAGGCTGATGGTTCAGGAGTGGCAAGACACGTTTCAGAGTTCGGCAGGATGCTCCCTGGCTGGAGGGTGTGGGGCAAGAGTCACAGGCTTGTAAATAAGACCCTCCAAGGACCTAGTTGTGACACTGTGATCAGGGTGGCCATTTCCCTTTGGCCAGAGTGGGACCCTGGAGCAAGACTGAGGTACCTGGCACCCTGGGTATGTCCCAAGGACAGTAGCAACTGTCAAGCCAGGACCCCATGGGTACAGCAGAGGCAGTACAGTACCCCTGTACTGGTCCTGGCACCCCTGGGGCCTGCTGTGCTGCTGGGCCCCAGCCCCAGCCCGACAAGCCACTGGCCTTTCCTTGGCCAAGTCTCTTTGAAGGAACAGAAGGAAGGGACATGCAGCATGGTTTCCCTCCCAGACCCCCGTGCCCAGCTCCAGTGAACAGCCTCCACATGAGGGACCCTCACCCAGCATTTTTATCTCCTGTCACCCTTCTCAACAGCCTGGGAGGGGAGATCCTTGTGCTGAGTTTTCAAATGTCAAAGTGAGGCCTCAAGAGAGTAAGTTCCATGTCCCCAGATGTATGGCTCATGTGGCAGAGGTAGGGAGTGGCCAGGTCTGGCTCCTCCCACAACCAGAGCCAAAGAACTCCTGGCAGCCCAGCCCCGGAGGAGGAAGGGATTGCAGGGGGCCTGGGAAGGGCCCTCTCAGAAGTATAAGGTATAACAAATAGAAAGTAACCTTCCGGGAAGAAACCACAGGGCCTCCACCCTGTCCCACGTGCTGCCTGTTCTCACCATTTTGAGTAGCCTTCAAGCCTACGCTCCCTTGCTGGGGTCAGGTCCAGAGGGATGCCCCTTATGGAAAGATAAGATGACGGTGGTCAGGGAGAGAGCGAGAGCTGGTATTGGGAGTTATCTGACCCTAACTCAAAAGACCACTCCTTTCCCATCTGGGGGGTTCCAGCCATTCAGACACATGATGGAGAGTTGGAGTGAATTCAGCCTCATGCAGGATGCTGTGGGCTGAGGAGCACTGGGGAGAACTCCCAGGGAATCTACAAAGCTACAGTCTCCCCAGGAAGGAAAAGGGGCCTAGATGTCCAAATCAACCACACCCCAAACACGGAGCCCAAGGCCAGCACACAGTGGGGCGGAAACCCCAGGACCAGGACAATGGCCCTCCAGAGCCCTGATGTTCCTGATGGGGAAGGTACAGCTGAATGACAATGAGCCTCCTGCATCAGCTTGGCTTTTGAAAACACAAACCTAAAACCCCACTCTCAAACTTTTCCTTTAGCTAACCCCTTCCCTGGGGTGAGTTTGCAGGGGTTCGCTTCAGTTTGGTCTGGACACAGAGTCCGGCCTCCTCAGGGCCCCATCCTGGCTCCCAGGCCCCCGCTCAGGTTTTCATACTCTGGGTCTGTTTTTTTACTGTGTTAATGATATTGGCAAAGAAAGCTTGGAACGTTGTGTAAACTGCTTGGGGATGGATAATTGAAACGTACATTCTGACTTAGTGGTTGGAGACATTATTTACAGTTATTATTAGTCCCTCTTTCTGGCACTGTGTGGAGGGCTCTCCTCAGAGGGACTGGAGCTGGGGAGCCTTTGAAAGCCCCCTCCCCCGCCAGCCAGTTCTCCGTGGCTTTGTATGTGGTTGGGGGCCTCAGGCTTGGGAACAGTTAGAAGTTGTTGCTGCCAGCCTGCTGCCCACCTCCCCACCCCTGGACAGAAGTGGGCCTGAGGCTGAAGCAACATGCCACCTCCTCCCTAGGGCTCAGTAGAAGCCATTTGCTGGCCTCAGGAAGTCCACCATGGGCCACCTCGGCTCTCAGTCAGCAAGCACTCTGGCAGATCCTGCTGGGACAAAAGATGCCCTCACCTCCACATGCCTGCTGACCCTAGTCCCCACAGGGGACAGCAGGGTGTAGGGGACAGCTTGTTCAAAGAACACGCTGCCCCTTCTCCTTCCAGAGCATTCTAAGCGCTGGTGTAGGGGATGAGGAGGTCATCTTGGCCAAGGAAATTGACAGTGGTCCTTTTGGATCAGCTAGGTTCTGAAATAATAATTTAATTAAAAAGGTCAACCTGAGCAGGTGCGTGAGAGGCTCAGGGCTGTGTTTTTCCTGAGCTTTCTCCCCACTGAATTCTTAGAGCTCCTGAATGTTCATGCTC